GGGCTTTTAGAAAAATTGTCTGGTTAATTTCTTGGGGTCATGTAACAACCCAGAGGTCTAGACAGAGACCTCAGAGACTCCATAGGATATGTACAATTGGAGGAAAAAAATTAGGAAAAAAATTTGAGTATAGAAAGTAATTTTAAACTTTGATGAAATTAGGTAATTTTTTTTTGGTTTTTAACAAATATTTTGTAATTGTTGTAAGAAATATTTCTATGTTTATTAAATTTTTTAAAAATTAATAAAATTTAGCATTAAATTGTTAAATAATGTTATTTTGTTGCTATATCAGAAATAATTTTGAAAAATATTCAAAATATAGACAAATATTAAACTCTAAAAATTTTTCAGTGTTTTTTTTAGTTTTTGTTAAAAATTAAATTTTTTTTGGAAAAGTTGATATAAGTTTAGTTGTAGTTTTGAAAAGTAGATAAAATTTAGTATAAATTAATTAAATAATATATTCGTAGCTATTATAAAAATAATTTAAAAAAAATCTAAAATTACGACTTATATTAAATGTTACATTGGCTTATGGTTGTTTTTTTTTAGTTTTTAACAAATTTCTCTAAATTTTTGTAAAAGTTAGAAATGTTTATTTATATTTTTAAAAAGCTAAAGTAAAATTTGTAATATAGATAAATATTATTATTTTGTTATTGTATTAAGATTAATTGTAAAAAATTGTCAAAATTTAGACAAAAATATAATATTAAAAAATTCCTAATGTCATTTTTTAGTTTTTGTTAAATATCTATACATTTTTCAAAAAACATGTATATGTTTATTACTATTTTTAAAATGTTGATAAAATTTTTGATAGAATATAAATTTTTAATAAAATATTAGATTGTTAGATTGTTAGAATATTATTTTGTTGCTTTATTAAAAATAAGTTAATAAAGTATAATTTTCTGACAAATATCAAACAATCATTTTTTTAAGGTTATTTTTAAAGTTTTGGACAAATATCTTATAACTTTTGTAAAAATATATAAATGTTTATCAGTATTTTTAAGAAGCTGAACAAATTTAACATTAAATTGTTAAATAATATTGCTTTTTTGCAAATCAAAAATAGTTTTGAAAAATGGCTAAATTTTAGACAAATATTAAATAATAAAAAAATTAAAGGTTTCCTTTATAGTTTTTTGTTAGAATTGTTTTAAATATTTAAAAAAAAATTTTTGAAAAAAATGGAAAATTTTCAAAAATAGGGATAAAGTAGAAATTAAAAAAAAGCACTAATCATGTTTTGGTATAACTTTTACGTATAACTTTTATACTCACAAAAACAAATTGAGATTCAATTAAATTAAAGATTTAGAAAAAATAACTAACAATGTTTATAAATAATTTAGTTTACATATATAATGCATTATACATACTATATTTATTTAATGTATGTATTTAATGCATACTTCACTACATAACATATATATATATATTTTAATCATACATGCATATACACCTTCATATACTAATCGAATGCTATTGGTTAAATATCGAACCAATCACAACATACTTTCAAATATACATGTATATACATATGTATACATGTTCATATACATATCCATACACATGTATAAATGGATATGTTCAAATATTTGTACCCGTAACAGAGTCGTACTTCAAAACTGAAAACTAAAGTTAACTAGTTGTGTATGGCATAGTCCCTTAAGGCAAATTGCTGGAACTTCCCGTACCGTAACGAAATGTTCGAGGAATATTGAATGTTTTCAAATAGATTATTATAATTACTGTAACATTGTTTAATATTTATAAGAATTATAGAAACTGAATTGCAAAGTTAAAATTATTTGTTTAAAGTATATTAAAACTATAGTCAGAATTAAAAATAAAATCAGAATTATTTTCGATATACAAAAAAAATTTTTTTTGAAAAAAAAAGTTGAAACAAATTTTTTTTCTCCAAAATCAATCATTTTGTTAAGACAAGCAGAAAGTTTTTTGAATCATTCAAATCGGATGCCTAGTTTTCTCAAAAACACGATTTCTATTTTTTGCAATCTTCGCTCCGTATCTACGAAACGGCTGGACCTGCCTTTGCTAAAAACTAATCGGCACGTCTCCCTATCAATACAAATCAAATGTTTTTGAACCATTCGAATCGGTTGATCCGTGCGCCCGAAAACGTGGACGAAAAATACTATCCATACATACATACATACACCCACATACATTTTTTTAAGGTATGCCAAAATGGTCAGAAACTTTTAAAACGTAAAGATATTGAAAGCCACTATTGAAGATAGTTTGATACAACTTTAAAAAAATCAAAACAACAACAAAATAATGGGCAATACTGCCCTAGGAATATTGTGAGAGATTTACTATTGCCATTTCACATCGCAGTACCCAAAATAGGCTTATTTTCAGTTGGAAACATATTTTTGATCTAGATTTTCAAGTGAAATGGACATCGCTGCTGCCCGATGTTAGAGATAGTACTCGAACTATATCATAAACTATATATACATATATATATATATATATATATATATATATATATAATATACTTTTTATGTGTAAAATATATAACAAAAACATAAAATAAATTAAGTTCAAGATAAAACATTTAGAACTAAAATAGCAAAACTTCAAAAAAAATTGAAACAAATGAAAGCTAAACCAAAAAAAATAAAAAAAGTTTTCAAAAAGAAGCACCTATATAAAAAGTATTTATTTCACTTTTTAAATATCTATTACCCCCGAGTTCGACCCTGTAAAAGCTTCTAGGATAATATTTCTCTCCAAACACACACTCACAAATCCATTTACATGAAAATCTCCTCCCGTTCGAATACTTCGAGAAAATCACTTCAGTCACATTTCGAAATTCCGAATCGGAAAGACATTTTTATTACTAATTAATAATAATTGAACAATTAGTAATAATTATAAACTAATTAGGACAATAAATAGTTACCAGTGTACTTTAATTGATTTTTGGAAAAAATTATAAACGAAATTGTGTGTAAACAAATTGGTGCTGCAATTTGTTTTAAAATAATGAAAAAAATTATAAACAATAATAGTGTATAAACAAATTTATCGAAAAAAATATGAATTGTTTTTTGTTCTAAAATTTTAGTTTAAAAAAATTGTATGTTAAATGAAATAGTGTCAATTTATTTAAATTTTTTACTTAAATAAATGTTTATGTTTAAATTATTGTTTAGTATTGAAGTATAAAAATAAATAAATAAAGTGCAGTTTTTTGCAGTTTTACAATTAAATTAGTAGTTTTATAATTAATTTTGTAAAACCTAATTAAAAAATAGATCAATTTAATTACATTTTAATAAAAAAAATCAAGATTTGTTATAAATCTAATACTAAAAGTTCAATCTGGCCCTACAGAATATTATAGGACCAAAAAGTGCAATAATTCACAAAAAGTGGTTCTAGATTCATGAAACAGTTCAGAGGGTGTCTAAACTAATTTTTAAATTTAAACAAAAGTGTTTAGAATTAAAAAAAAACAATACTTTCCATAAATCCAATACAAAAGTTAAATCTGGCCCTACAGAATATTATAGGTTCAAAAAGTGTATTATTTTACAAAAATTGGATCTAGAATTTATAAAAAGTTCAGTGTATCAAAACTATTTTTAAAATTTAAACAAAAGTGTTTAGAATTTACAAAAAACAAGACTTTTTATAAATCTAATACTAAAAGTTAAATCTGGTCCTATAAACATTATAGGTTCAAAAAAGTGCATTATTTTATAAAAATTGGATCTAGAAATTATAAAACAGTTCAGAGTGTGTCTAAATTGTTTTTTAAATTTCAACAAAAGTGTTTAGAATTAAAACAAAAACAATTTTTTCATAAATCTACTACTAAAAGTTAAATCTGGCTCTATGGGTTTAAAAAAGTGTATTATTTTATAAAAATTGGATCAAGAAATCATAAAACAGTTCAGAGTGAGTCTAAACTATTTTTTAAATTTAAATAAAAGTGTTTAAAATATAATTTCATTAAAATTTTTGGCCCCAAAGAATAGTGAAGGACCAAATTAGTAAATGTTTTGTAAAAATTGGCTCTAAAAATTATTTGAAGAGAACAAAGTGAATCTAAAATTATTTTTAATTTTACATAAAAATATAGAGACTGGAGATTTGTTTAAATTTTGACCCTAAGTAATACTATAGAACCAAAAAGGTGCATTTTTGCAAAAATTGCCTAAAATTAATTACAATATAGCACAAAAAAGTTTATAATATCATTTAAAACTAATAAAATTAATATTAAAATATTTTAAGATAAATTTTGGGCCCAAAGTTACATGAAGTGTCCAAAAAAATGCGATATTAAAAAAGTAGACTCAGAAATAAGCCAGTATAAAGGTTGTCTAATATAATTTCAAAATTCGCATAAATTTGGTTTTTAGAGTGATATTTCAAATTTGGTTAAAATTTTGGCCCTAAAACATTATATCAACATCGTTTAAAGTTAAAAATAAATAATACAAATTGTAGTTTTGTGCAAAATTTGGGCCAATTAATGATTTTTTGGCCAAAACACAATATTTTGTGTAAAATTTGTGACTAAATTGTTGTTTGCATTATTTATTTTGGGCCAAAACTAGTATAACATTTAATAGAGATCAAAGTGATCATTATAGTGAGTACCCAAAAAACGTACGAAGTATGATTTAAAATAAATAATTAAATAACCTACATAATTTAATTAAATTATGTTATGAAATGTTATTAAGTTCAAACCTAGGGCCAAAAACAAATTACTAAATTGTTACTAAAATTATTAAAATATAACAAGTACGCTAATGGCCAAGTGTTGACTCCAAGTTTGCACCAAAACTAAGTCATCTAATAAAATTCCCAAAAATGTTACAACCTGCTCAATACCAGTACCAGAAACCCCAGCACCTCCTCCAACCCACCAATCTACCATCGACAGCATCACATACCCCATATCGACCCCATTTTCGGTAAAAGACATTCTAAACATGGAAACCCAGAACCAATTCATAGTCCCAGATTCCAATTCCACATTTTATAACCAAAATGCAGAACCCAATTACGAGCCTTATCATGTTGACTATAATTCATACTATGGCCAGAATTGGATGGCACAAAATGGTGCAGGTTGGTCTGCACAAAATGGTGGTGGGTGGGTGCCACAAAATGGCGGTGGATGGGTTGCACCAAATGGTGGAGCTGGGTGGGTTGCACAAAATGGAGTGGGGACACAGAATGGACAAGAACATGCTGGACAACCTTACGAGTTTCCAGACAGTGGCGGTTATGGATATTATAATAATGGTAAGCGATAAAGGAAATTTTTGCCAAATGTTTGTTTATATTTATATACATATTTATATTTTGCAGGTCCTCAACTTAAAGACGTCTTCCCCGAAATTAAAGATGAAGAAACAACAATGACCTCTGTGGAAATCGAGGACGAAAACGACGAAGATAAATACACAAACCATCAACGGGATCATCAGCACCAGAATCGACATCAGCAGAACCATCAAAAGGAGAATAACCAGAATTATCATCGCCAGGATCACCAGCAACAGAATCACCAGCAACAGAATCACCAGTTAAATGGCATCAGCAACGTTCTTCATAACAACATCGTGGACGACAGTATATCCAGTACTGATAACGATGATAATAATTTGATCATCGACCTTCAAAATAATAATAGTAAGTAAAATATATACTTACTTTAAATTCCCTTAAAATAATCTACAAAGATTCTTAATTTTTCCAGAAAATCAACAGGAGGTGACAAGTTCCAAAACTGAATTAAGGAAAAATGGCAAAATGAGGGCAAAACGTAAACCTAGAGTGCTGTTTTCGCAAGCGCAGGTGAGTTCTAAAGAAGTTTTACTTCAAATTAAATTATCTGATTTAAACACAAGTATATATTTTTATACATATATATGTATTCAAGTATAAACTTTTATTTTTCCTCCAGGTTTTAGAATTAGAGGCCAGATTCCGCCAACAGCGCTACCTTTCGGCCCCAGAACGCGAATGTTTGGCCAGAAGTTTATGCCTATCGGCCACTCAGGTTAAAATTTGGTTCCAAAACCGGCGGTACAAAAATAAAAGGGCCAAAAGCACTGAGGGCTCTGAAACTAATTGCAAAACCCAGACCCAAATGGAACATCATCAGAATAGAAAGGTAGAAATTTTTGGCCAACATTTTTTATGGCCCAAAAGAAACTGTTAAAATTAATGTTTTATTTTTTATTCGCAGGAATTACGACCTGAAGAATCAACAGCACCTTATCACGAAACGTACCAAAATCAAACGTTCTCAAACTGTGTAGCTGCGCCTCCGCCATATTCTTACAATTTTGGCGCAAATTTGACGCAGAGTTATGGAAATTTCGAATATTATAAATTATAAAGATAAAAACTGATTTGTTTTACGAAAATGAAATATATTATTGATATTAGATTTAATTAGTAAAACGCTGTTATTATAATTAGTAAAAAAATACTTATTTAATTTTAATTAGTATATAATTAGTTAAATTTATTAATTATTTTAATATTTTTTAATTTTTAATATTTAGTATTATGTTAAACCAAAGAATATATTTTATGTTTGTATATATTATTGTGTTATGGATTTATATATTAGTTAATAAAGATTTATAAAAAATTATAATATTGTTATTTTAATTTTAATTGTTTATAAATATTTATAAATGTGAGTGAATTTGTATAAGTAAAAATAAAAGAGTACAAATGTGTGTAAATGTGCATAAATGCGTATACGTGTGTGTAAGTGTGTAAAAATGTATATAAACGTGTTCAAGTGTGTGTGTAAGTATGTATTAACGCGTGCAAGTGTGTATTTGTGTATATAAGTGTGTATGCGTAATAAAGTGTGTATAAGTGTGTTCAAATGTGTTCATAAGTGTTTATAAATGTGTATAAGTGTGTATAAATATACTTAGTGTGTTTAAAGTATGTATAAATGTGTATTGTGTTTGCAAATGTGTATAAGTATATGAAAGAGCTTGTAGATATGTATAAATGTGTATAAGTGTGTATAAATATGTATAAGTATGTCTGAGTGTGTTTGTAAGTATTTATAAATGTGCATAAGTGTGTTTGTAAGTGTTTATAAATGTGTTTAAGTGTGTATAAATATATTTAGTGGTGTTTATGGTATGTATAAATGCATATTGTGTTTGGATATGTGTATAAGTGTATGAAAGTGCATGTAAATATGTATAAATGTGTGTAAGTGTGTATAAATATGTATAAGTGTGTTTATAAATGTGTGAGTGTGTTTAGAAATGTGTATAAGTGTGTATAAATGTATTTAAGTGTGTTTAAAGTATATATAAATGTGCATTGTGTTTGGAAATGTGTATAAATGCGTAAATGAGCATGTAAATATGTATAAATGTGTATAAATATGTATTATTGTGTTTAAATGTGTTCATAAGTGTTTATAAATGTGTATAAGTGTGTATAAATATATTTAGTGTGTTTAAAGTATGTATAAATGTGCATATGTGTTTGGAAATATGTATAAGTATATGAAAGAGCATGTAAATATGCATAACAGTGTATAACTGTGTATAAATATGCATAAGTGTGTTTAAATGTGTTCGAAAGTGTTTATAAATGTGTATAAGCGTGTATAAATATATTTAGTGTGTTTAAAGTATGTATAAATGTGTATTGTGTTTGGAAATGTGTATAAGTGTATGAAAGAACATGTAGATATGTATAAATGTACATAAGTGTGTATAAGAGTGTTTAACGTGTGTGTAAACATGTGTTGGAATGTACAAAGTGACTACAAAAATAAGTGTTTACAAGTGTGTGTGAATGTGTTAGAATGTGCATAAATGTGTGCATAAATATGTGTAGGGCTCCATATGTGTTTTTGAAGTGTATATAAATGTGTGTAATTGTGTACAAAATTTGAAAATTTGTGTAAAAAGTAGAAAAAAATGAAAAACAATAATTTCAAAAAAACTAAAAAATTGAAAAAAATATAATAATATGAAAAAAATAAAATAGAGAAAAATTTTAAAAAAGGTATAAAAATTGCAAAATGTGTATAAGTCTGGCAGAACCGATATAAATCTGAAAGTGTGTAAAATTCTAAGACAGTTTGTATAAATTTGAAAAAATATGCATAGTCTGAAAAAATTGGTAAAATCTAATATTAAAATTATGTTAATCTAAAATGAAAACTACGTTTCAAAGGTTTGGCACATTTGTGTATGTGTGCGTATATGTTAGTGTGTGTGTGTGCGTGTGTGAGTGTTCGGATACAAATTTTTGTATAAATTTAAAAATAAAATCTTAAAATTTGAAAATGTATATAAAATACTTTTAAAAGGTCAAAACAAATTTGTTGTCCAAAAATAATTTTAAAACATAAAATATAAATAAGTATTTAAAATTGAAGAAAATAAAAAATAAAAATTATTTGAAAACAAAATCTAACCAAATAGAGCTCTATATAAAAAACGAATAAATATAAGCATGGTCATTGACTATGTATATTCATACAAATATGTGTATATATACATGTATATACAAATATATTTCTTAAATACCAGAAGCTTAATCTTTGATATTAAACAGACATTGGTTATAAAACATATCCATTTCATTTCTGTGGCATTTAAATATATTTGATATATGTATATATATATATATATATATATATATATATATATATATATATATATTAGGGTGGTCCTTAAAATGGTCATTTTCGAATTTTCTTGCTCCCAGGGGCTCAAATGGTTCCAAATAGATAAAAAACAATTCTCTGAAAGTTTTAGCTCTTAATATTAACGTTTAGATAGAGCGCAATTCAATCAAAGTTTGTATGGAAAGAGCATGGAAAAATTTTTGAAAATTAAAAAAAATGTTTTAGGTATAACTTAGCGACAAATGAATGAGTTTTATTCATTCATTTGTTCGCTACATTACATCTAAAAAACATTTTTAAAATTTTTGAAAATTTTTCCATGCTATTTCCATACAAAACTTTGATTGAATTGCGCTCAATCTAAATGTTAATATTAAGAGCTAAAACTTTCAGAGAATTGTTTTTTATCTATTTGGAACCATTTGAGCCCCTGGGAGCAAGGAAATTCGAAAACGACCATTTTAAGGACCACCCTAATATATATATATATATATATATATATATATATATATAAATCCTCTAAATATCGTCTTACGACATTGCTTATAAATAATAGTTTTCCTTTTTCCTACGTTTCAGTATCACTTGTCAATCATCTTCAGTGCCAAAGACATTCATTCATAAATAACTTAGTCTTATAAATATTATTTATAAGAAATGTTTTGATGGACATTGATGATGACACAAAGCTATATCGAAACGTTAATATGATAAATTATTTTTCTATGTAAAATCGAATCATAAGTTTCGGTAAAATTTGTGCGTCATCTTCAACATCAGGATGAGATAATTATATTATGAAGTATAAATTTGTTAGAGAAAATTATTCGAAATACCATTTTAATGTAGAGGAAAATTGATAAATAGGCTAAGGCGGGGCACAAAGGTCCAATTTGACTTGCAGCAATTATATTGTGAAAATCGAACTACATCAAAACAAATAGCATTTATCAAACAAACAATTATCTGTCTACGTTCTGTAAAACTCCCTGCTCATTCATCATATGTTTTTTACTGTTTTTCAACCTGGTCTTTTTTACCCCATAGGCTCATAGTAATATTGTAAAAATAAATGGGAAAAATGCAAAAAACAACATGTCATTGTTTGACATTGACAATATTTTGACAAGTGAGAACTGTCATCTGCCAGAGATTTCAATTCACTTATGAGCCTAGACAAAATTAGAATATGAATGAGAAAAATGTAATGTCTACATTACTATTGCTGAAAAGCAGCTGAGATGTGCCAGAAAATAAAATAATATAAGATACAGCCAACAGTATATGTTTGGCAGATTAAATTATATAATTCAGTTTAATAAATAACGCAATAAGTCTAAAAATTGCATATACATTATTTTTTTAAACTTATGCATGTCGTATTTTGGTTTACCTTACTAAATTATTTAACAACACAAAAAATATTTCTACTTATTAAAAAAATGTTTTAGAATTTTGTCTCATGTGTCAAAAATTCATTTACCTGGCATTGGGTATGGAATATTTAGCAAGTTGATCTTAGATTGAATAGTGCACATATGAACTAGATTTTACAAATTAATTTACTTAAGATTTGAATATAAACAATAATGTTTATTAAATTATTAGTAAGAAAAATGTACTTTAGAAATTATATTTGCCAAAAAACAACTAATACATCGTAGGAGATTATGAAAATTATAGACTGAATTATTGAAGCAATTATGTTGTGTGGTAATAATCAAGTGTGATATTGTTCTTTCGATTTCTTATACTTCTTATGCTAAGACCATAAATAAATCACAATGGCAGGACATCAAATAGGATATTAAAAAGTATAGGATTAGATATTAAAATATTTGAAACTTTTGAATTGTAGACATGGGTACAGGACAACGTCTGTCGGGTCATCTAGTATATATACATGTATATATGTTTGTTTTCTATTAATTACAAGTTCAAGTAGCAGTTCTACTCTAATCTATTTAATTTCCATCTCCGAGACATGTGTTGCTCAGCTAAAATCGCCATTTAGATACCACCGCCAGATACCGATACCATTACACCATCGAGAACCACCAGAAGAAATTCTTGGTGTCACTATTTAGATACAGCGGCTGAAGAATAAAGTTTTGTGCCGCGATCGGTAGAGCCGTTTCATTTGGAGCGCTTTGGTAGTGTGCTGACTGTAGTTTGGGAAGAAATGGTTGGGGAAGGTTTTTGGGTGTGAGAGTTTTGTAGCTGGATAAATTTTCTATAATTTTTCTTAAATGATAATATAATGCACTTAATAATGGTGGGCATAGCCCAATCAGTAGTATGCCCGACTTACGCGCTAAAGATATTAGATACTACTCCTAAATTAACATAAAATTTGAATTGTTAAAATTTAATTACAGAAATCGAATAGTTGTCTTGAATTAAAAGTAAAAGGAAAAAAAATTAGGGCTCGCAAAGATAAGAAAAAGAATAAAGAAATAAAGAAAGACAGGAAATAAATAGAATTAGAAGTTAGAAGAAGAAGAAAGGATGAAAGAAAAGGATACATGAAGAAATGAAAGAAAACAGGAAATGAATAGAATTAGAAGTTAGAAGAAGAAAGAGGATGGAAGAAAAAGAAGAATTAAGAAATAAAAGAAGATAGGAAATGAATAGAATTAGAAGTTAGAAGAAGAAACAAGATTGAAATAGAGAGAAGAATGAAAAAGTGGTCAATGCTCCGAGTTAAGTAGAATTTG